ACCAAAAAAGATTTATTCCTTCTCCCTAAAAAGAAATAACTAAATTAGACCAATGAATATACTTGAGATTGCATGAAGAAACTCTGCCAAATGAATTTAAAAAATTAATTAATTAATAGCAATGTTCTATTTAAATGCATATGCCTTGAATGTCATGAAAGTTACTGTTAAGTGTATGCACAGACCCACAAAGTCATTTTTCTAATTTCTTGACTCACATGTAACAGCAATTTGCAACTATCTAAAAGGTATAAATGCCAAGGGGTTTGAAGTCATCTAGAAAACCCTGTCTTCCTTAAACTAAGGACAATTAAAAGTTAATGATCTATATTTTCTCTCCCTAAACAAAGGTTAAATAGCTTATGTCAACGTTATCAAAGGGACTGGTAGCAGAAATCCAATTAATGTTATTTACTGTCCACAAAGACAAGTAAAATTAAAACATAAACCTCATTTCAAATTAATTTAAATTGGCTAATTGAAATAAATAAATATTCAAGAAAACTGAATTGTACTGTACAAGAAACTGTTCCTGAAGTATTAACTAAAATTCTTATTGATGGTTCAAAAATTGCTTAACATGTTATGTATTCAAAGCAGTCATATTTCTATATAAGAAATTAAATCTAAGGTTATCAAGACTGCATTAAAATTTTTTCAAAAGCCTCTTTATATTATTTTAATACAAAATTGGGGCATAGTAGAATAATCTCATGTAAGAATATTACATTAAGCCTAAATTATTTTAAAATTGTTACTTTACAATTGATTTTCACTTGTAATGCCGGTGAATGTGCACTGGTGTCAAAGTGGGCCAAAAGGAAAATGCTCTGGTTAAATGAAAGAATCTCAAATCTAAATTATAGGAAATTCCCTCTTAACATTTGGTCGAGGATATGCTTATATATTTCCAGAAAATTTCTCTAAGCCCGTGTGGATTCCTGCAAGAAATAGTAACTTCAACATGGAGAAGAACTGGCCAGGTTAAAGAGGAGTCTGCACCTGGAGCCGTGCCTTACAGCTGCAGGTAATCAACTGCCCTGGCCATGAATAGCAGTGGTCCCAAGCAACTCACTGAAGATAAGAAGTGGGAGGAGGATGAAGTGGACAGCGAAGAGACCAGAAGTAACCTGGAGCCCAGGAACACCTGAGAACATCCTTCTTGCCATGCTAGCAGTAATCAGCTGTACGGTAATGCTACCAGGGGTAAATGGGGAAGTATTTTGGACTTATATTCCTGACCCACCATGGGTAAGACCCCTTACGTGGGCTGATTGTCCACCTAATATAGTCACCAATGATACCCAAAACCTTGGTCATCCAGGAGGACCACAGGTGGGGCAAGGAAGTATATGGGCAAAGTATAATTTTACACAGGTGTTGCCACCCAGCTTCCCTTTTGTATGACACTAAATCAAATCACTGCTCCCTTGTGTGTAAAATTAAAGAGAGGTTTTTGGCCAGCTTGGACCCCAAAGGATGGGGAAGAAAAAGCTCAAATACGTTTATTATCTCTACTTGCTCCGGGGAAAGGTGCAGAAAATGTAAGTGTGCTAAGACACCCCCCAACTAAGCCATTATGTAAAAAGTCTTATGAATGGCACCCCACTGAGGAAGAAATTAATTGGCAAGACTGTTATAGTAATTATCCTACCACCAGCAAACTTAATAACAATTTTTTCTTTGTGGACTGGAGCCCTTATGGGTCTTTATATAGTAACAATCGCACCCTAAAATGGAAAGGTAACTCATCCTATCTATATGTTGAAGCAAATCACTCCATCTCATGGCATGGAGGAGAATTTATTGGGTCTCAATTGCAACATGACAATCAGCCCCTACAAAGTACGCAGTGGAAATTAGCTGCTGCACTTGCACCTATTAAATGGTATAGTTTTAATTATAACTCAAATAATTCCATTTTTGTTTTACAAGGAACTTTCAATAAGACAGTGCTTGCTACTGCCGGTGTGTTTGATCCATTTGTACTCCTCTCAGGCCCCATCCAGATGCACCTTAATGTTACAAGCCATCTGGATGAGGTGTCATGCACAGGTTGCACTTTATCCCATTGTATTAATTCTACATTTCAAAAGAAGTTCCTCATGATTTTAAAACAACCAGCTTTTGCTTGGGTTCTCACCAACTTAACTGAGCCTTGGGAATCTCATCAAACCTACCAACTGTTGCATGATCTAGTAAAAATCTTAAAAAGACAAAAAGGATTTCTTGGAATGTTAATTGCAGAAATCTTTGCCCTAGTAATGTTACTTACTTCTGTGGGCATTGCTGCTTCATCAATGGTACAAACTGTTCAAACCTCTCAGTTTGTACAAGTCAAGGAAAATGTAACTAAAACCCTGTCTATACAAAAAAGAATTGACAGCCAGTTTGAGAAAGAATTATCGGCACTAAAGTCTACAGTCCTGTGGATGGGTGATAAAATCCATGGCCTAGAGCAAAGAATATCTTTGCAGTGTCATTATAATTTCTCCCAGATTTGTGTTACCCCCGTTCCCTATAATAGTACCCTGCACCCTTGGGAATCAATAAAAAGTCATCTTCTTGGTGCTTGGGGGAAAGGTAACACAACCCTTGATATTTTAGAATTGCAACAGCATATTGTACAATTATCCCAGGCAAACTTACAAACCAATTCCCTTAATGCCTGGCAGCAATTTAAAGAGGACTTGAAAGAGTTTAACCCAGGGGTGGGCAAACTTTTTGACTCGAGGGCCACAATGGGTTCTTAAACTGGACCGGAGGGCTGGAACAAAAGCATGGATGGAGTGTTTGTGTGAACTAATATAAATTCAAAGTAAACATCATTACATAAAAGGGTACGGTCTTTTTTTTTTTTAGTTTTATTCATTTCAAACGGGCCGGATCCGGCCTGCGGGCCGTAGTTTGCCCACGGCTGGTTTAACCCCTTTCACTGGATATCATTACATTTACCTCTCAGCATAACCACTATTGTTTGTCTCATTCTTGTTCTCATATGTTTACCTCTAGTCTGCAGATGTGGAATGAAGAGTCTTAAAAGGACTCAAACCCTTCAGGCAGCTTTCACTTATCAAGATTTATTAAGGAAAAGCAACAGGGAAGAGAGCCTAGCACATAATTAATCATTGCCTTTATGGTACTAGGACCTCCCCTAGAGGTAAAAACAATGGATCCACGTACACTAATTCTGTTTTCAGTACTTTTGTCAACAATATCAAATTTGTCATAAAACTAGTATCCCTTATAATTCTCAAGCAATAATGAAGTAAACCAATCATACTATTAAAATGCAATTATTAAAACAGAAAGGGGGAGACAGATGTTATTGTCACCTCAAATATAAACTCAGTCATGATCTTTATATTTTAAAATTTTTTGCTTTATATTTTAAATTTTTTGAATTGCGATGCAGAGGGTTGTACAGCAGCCGGAAGGCATCAGGCCTCCTGTACAATAGCCTCCGCCAAGTTAGCCTGGTTGAAGAAAGCAAAAACCAGACAAAAGTTTTATCAGATTCAATAATAATGTGGGGAAGAGGTTGTGTTTTGTATCTTTCCAGAAGGAACAGCTCAGCCAATCTGGATGCCAGAGCATTACATGCGTCACCATGATGGACACAGAGAAGCTGCTTGTCCCATCGTTCAAGGGACTGAAAGTTGCCCTGATGACAGCGATGCAGAAGAGGAAAAGGAAAACTACGTAAAAGACTGAGGTGTCAACATAGGGTCAGCTGAAGAGGTTAACGACTAAAGCCAGCGGAGGTGGAAGTTACAGCCTCAACCATGTTTCTGGATATGCTAACATTGGTTAGCTGCCAGTCTTCTATAAGACCTTGCACAGCCAAGTCTAAGGACTCTGAGTAAATATACACCAGCAGCAAAAGAAACTTTCAGTTAGTAGCTAAAAATGTTAACATAGCTATAGTTTGATTTCTCTCTTATTGTTGTGTTTGCATTGATATTTTTTTAATTAGTTTTATTTAGTCAAAGTTTTGTTTTTGATATTAAGTTTTATTTTTAACTTTAGTTGCTTAAATATAAAAATCGGGGGAGATATGGAGGGCTGCTGGCTAGCACATTAGGGCATTTTTTAGATATTGTCAACTGAACTCAGGGCGCAGGCAGAGCCATGCCCTGGGGGCGGTCCTAGTCAAGAGGCTAGGACGCCACTCAGTCTGACTTTCCTGCCCAGGTGCTAAGGGGGGTGGGTCCTATTATGTTGCCAGGAACTCAAGGCCCACCCAGATGTGATGTAACTTCCTGTTACTTTGAGTATAAATAAACTTCCCACCGTGTGGGAGGGGCTCTGATCATCTATCAGAGGGCAGACACCACACCCAGGCCCAGCTTTCCCTCTATGTCTGTCTCAGTCTTGTTTTATTCATTTTTCCTTAAACCTCGTCATGTTCTACACAAGAATTCATCAACCCCCATGTTCTCTCTCTCTGCGCTGGCCACGGGAAGAGAGACCCCTCCCCCTCTCATAGTAGGTTAAGCTGAAGTTCATTTAATTATTTTCACTAGGAAATCTATGGTTACATTGATATCAGAAAAACAAGCCAGAAGCAACCTCAAACATTATATTATAATGATGCAAAAAATGATGATGATGATAGATGAGAAAAAAATGAAACCCAGGGAGGTGCAACAAGTTATCCAAGATCACACAAAAAATTGGCAAAAAAGAGAGAAGATTCAAGAACCTAGTCTTTACACGGACCAAAATACTAATGAGCTACTTCACCTCAAGTTCCTAAAACATACATCTGTAACTAGCCAACAGGATGTAAAATTATGTAAGTTAAATCACAATGCTCTCTAGCATACAATCCCCATGCCAGAGTGAAAGAACAGAGAAGGGGCTGCCTGACATTTGCTAGCTTTTCTGATTTAAGCACCAAAGCATTTGGTCTATAAGATTTAGAGACTATAATACTGGAAAAAATGAAGATATATCTGAGTTATTTCTTATATATAGTGGGAAAAGAGTAGGCAGGCCAGTTTTCAGGGAAGAGTCAGGAGTTAAAGTATTACGTACTGTACACGATGATGGTGATGTTGGCTTGCAGGGCAGTATTGTTTTCTTCCCTGCAAATGTACAAACCATTGTCTTCCATAGTTACATTCCAAATGGTCAAGTTACTATAACTCTTGTACACAGGGGATCCTTGGTACAATTTTCTTTTAATTTCACAACACCTGGGTGTTGTCTTGGACTGTGGGGTGAGAAAAAAAAAAGAGAATAATTTCACTTGAGATTATTGCACACTCCTAGGTACCTAACTTGTCACAGCTCAACAGAAAGCCAAAGAAAATCCCTATGGCAACATGACACTTTTCCTGCACTTCTATTACATTACATATGTAACTAATGAACCATGATGTGGTGAAAAATGAAATGCAAGTCCCTTATAAGAGTGGCTTCCTTAAATGCAGAAGCTGCTTATAATTCAACTTTGTTGATTTTCTTAGCACTTTGCCTAGTTCTTGACCCAAAGTAGGAACTGAGTGAAAATGGCAAAGAGAGAGGATGTGGGTGGATTTGTGAAGAGTTAGAGCAGGGATACTGTCCTTACATCTTGCCGATTGAATACCCAGTTCAGTTTGATTCGTCCATTGAATGTGGTCTCTGCAACACATTGCAGGAAAAGGGTATCTCCTATGAGAAGTTTCTGGTGGTTGTATCTGATGGAGATATTTTCTCTCTTGGTTTCTGGAAAATATATCAGATGGCATAATACTGACAAAGAAGGCAGGAGACAAAAATCTGGATTATGGAGTACTTGTTAGAATTCTCAATTTCTCATTCCTTTTCTTATATGGAAATGTAGACTCAAAACCAAACCAGAAGATTCCATGATTCAGAAACTGCTGGATAAGATTTTTTTTTTTTACCAGTTGAATCTTTATTTTTTTTTTTTACCAGTTGAATCTTTATTTTTTTTTATTACCAGTTGAATCTTTATTTTTTTTTTTTACCAGTTGAATCTTTATTTTTTTTTTTTACCAGTTGAATCTTTATTTTTTTTTTTTACCAGTTGAATCTTTATTTTTCCCAACCCTCTCTGGCCTTCCCACTGCAGTTTGACAATCAGTTTGAGGCAGCTCTGCCTCTGTATCTATTATTGTTCAAAAGTTTGTAATGGTCTTTATTATCCATGTATGAGTGAGATCTGGATAAGATTTTATATAAATTATATAAAGAGGCTTGGTGGTGGTGTCAAAGCTTATCTTTCTAGTTCTTGAGGTTTTTAAATGAAAAGAATTCTGCAATCCTGCTTAGGAAATCATATACACAGTTTAATAAACTCTCAATCAGAAAGTTTTTCCTCCTACTGATCTAAAGCCATTAAGCCCCTCTGTGGCTAATTCTGCTACATTTCTGAATTCTCTGAGCAAAGGGTCTTCCCTGGATTAGAAACCCGTTTTCACTTCTATACAAGAGCAGCATTGATATAAAGTTCCAAGGTGTCATTGCTTAGCCACGATATGTACCATCATTTCATAGTTTTGCAAGGATAAACTTATAAAAGCTAAGTATCTATTGCTAGACACTGATAAACCATTGATTTTATGGATCTATTGAGCAGGCAACTGAAAACAGTAACAGAAATTAGTCTGGGCTTTTTCTACTGAGATACATACAGTTCTTAAAATAAAAGCTTAGAATCACTAGTTATTAAATAATATGGAAGAGATTATAGCTGAAGTAAGGTTTATACAAATAGGAAGTGATTACCAGGAGCAGCAGGATCCCATTTCCTAACCTAAAAACGTAAGATCACATACCCAGACGCTGTGGGAGATAGAATGACTTGTGTATCTTCCCATTAACTTCGGCAACACACTGGAGCATGGTGCTGTAGAAGTGGTAAGAGGGTCGGGTCACAATGAAGCCTTTCCTGGGATTCCAGTTTTGACTTCCATAGGAAAATGTGGCAGAGTGTAACTATGGGGCAAAAAAGGAGGACATAGGAACACATACATGTAAAGTTCTGGCCAGTCATCAGTATCATACTCAAACTATCTGCTCTGAAGCCACAGAGAGGAGTGGCCTGCCCTCCCCCTCACCCACCCAAGTTTCCTCAGAACTGAGTCTTTGCTGGTTAACCTTTGTTTTCTTCTCAGAGATTAGCACAGTGATGGGCTCAGAGTAGATACTCAATAAATAATAATTATAGTAATAAACACTTACCAAACACTATGTGCCAGGCACTGTATTAGCTCACTTAATCTTTATAACAACTCTATGAGATAGGTATTAATGTTACTCTCATTTTAAAGATGAAGTTCATAGGGGACACCTTGCTAAACTGATTGCTTAATATTGGATTGAATATTAAGGCTTATATCTCTTCTATTGGATATATTTAGAGCCAAAAAGGCTATGCTAAGATTCATTGGGCCTTCTTTTTAAGATATGTGAGAGAATCGCAGCTGTCAGGTTCCATATCTTCTCATGAGGGCCCCTGATATTTACTTACATTCTGTTACTGTAGGTAGCTCTTTCTACCTCAAGTAAGGAAGGACATATGAAAAAAGACTTTAAGGAACTTAATGGCCCACATGAAGTCCATTTGTAGCTTGTACTTTCATTCATTTAATCAAACATTTAATATTTAATAGTATCTATTCTGTGGTAGGCAATAGGGATCCAGCTGCAAACAGCACAAACTGAGTGCTTACTCTCAGCTAGTGTGTTTCTAAACAGATCTGGATTACTAAATCTTCTTTTGATTGATATGAAAGTAATACATACCAATTGTGAACATTTTTTTAAATAATGGAGAAAATAAATAAAAAACAATAATGATGACCTATAACCCAGAAATAGCCACTAGGAATAATAAAACATATTTACTTACAGTCTCTTTTCTATGTATGTATATATTGTTACATAGCTGTACTTATAAAGTATATACAATTTATCCTGTTTTTTCCCTATTTTGCATTATATAATTAGCATGTTCTCATATTATTAAAAACTCTTCATAAACAATTTTAATGACTGTATAATATTGGTATTCTAATATTTATTTAACCATTCTTTTATTGTTAGATATTTATGTTGTAATAATTTTTGTTTTATTTAAAACAATGTGACAATGAATATCTTTATGTTTCGATCTTTGCTTATTCACTGGACAAGATCCTTAGATGAACAACTACTGGATCAAAGTGTACAGACATTTTCCAAGCACTTGATATATTTTGCCAAAGTCCATCACAGCAGAATATACTAATTTATATCCACTGGTATATGAGAATGGACCCTATATTTTAAGGAGGATCTTTACAAATTGAAGCATGGTCAGAGGAAGATGATAAAAACTATGAAGGTTCTGGAAGCCTTGTGATATAAGGAATCGTTTAAGAAACAGGACATTTTTAGTGGGACAAAAGAAACGCTTGAGGATGGAAAGTGGTAGGTGGAGTTAGTGATTGGTTGGGGATGGAGTGGCTCTTTCCTAGTATTTGAAGAACTCTTACTTGGGAACTTTTGTGTATAACAGAGGGTATAATGGGGACCAATAAGTGGAAATGACAGTGATGCATATTTTGGCTCAATCAGATGGTGACTTCTCTGTCACTGAAAGTATTGAAACAATAGCTGAATGACTATTTGTCCAGGGTGTTATAAAATAATTTTTGTGGAAAATTAGACTGTAAGGTCTCTTCTAACACTGAGGTTCTATCTCTTTTTGACCCACAGTTCAGTTATCTTATTCTTATCCAACAAGAACTACTCAGAGACTTATTATTTTTTCTTTTTTAAAAAAATATTTTTATTGATTTCAGAGAGGAAGGGAGAGGGAGAGAGAGAGAGAGATAGAAACATTCATGATAAGAGAGAATCATTGATTGGTTGCCTCCCGCATGCCCCCAACTGGGGACTGAGCCCACAACTCAGGCATGTGTCCTTGACCAGAATTGAACCTGGGACCTTTCAGTCCTCAGGCCGACGTTCTATCTACTGAGCCAAACTGGCTAGGACTATTTGTTTCTCTTTTTACCTTTTAATTTTATTGTTGTTGACACTATTACAGATGTCCCCATTTTCTCCTCCCCTTGCCCAACTCCATCCAGCCTCTGTTCCCCTTCCCTATGGCCATCACCACACTGTTGTCTGTGTCCATGGATTATACACATATGTTCTTTGGCTAATCTCTTCACCTTCTTTCATCCAGTTCCCCCAAACACTGCCACCTGACAGCTGTCAGTCTCTTCCATGTATCCATGCCTCTGTTTCTATTTTGCTCATAAGTTTATTTTTTTCATTAGATTCCACATATAAGTGAGATCATATGGTATTTATCTTTCTCTGACTGGCTTATTTCACTTAGCATAATCATCTCCAGGTTTTTAATATCAGGACAAGGTCATCACATATTGTCTAATAACACAAAACCTAGGGTTGAAAGTTTGTCAAATTTCTTTTTAGTTTCATGTTTTGTTTTGTTTTACTTCTTAAGTATTAACTATTGAATTAAAACATTTAAAATAATTTTTCAAATATCAGTTTTCACCAGAATATTTGTTGGGACTCTTTGAGAAGCCCTTTAACCACTAGTAATTTCACCATAACCTAAATGTACCTAACTACCAGATGTCCCCAGGGAATCTGACAATTAAAAAACAATAGAATAAAATAAAGAAAACACAAGTAACATATGGGATAAATTACAATAATCAAGGAGAGTCAAAACACCTTGAGTTTTTGCATGCTTATGCAGAAATTCAGTGTTGCAGAAATTCAAAGTAATGGTAAGATACTAAAATATTGAACTATCTGATTGCAGAGTTGAAATACTCTGTGTCTTAATACTTTTTCCATTTGAATGATTAAAGCCTCAGTCCTAAGAAAGCAACTCGTTCATTTAATTAACCCTATAGATTAATGGCTCTCAATGAAGGCTTAGGGAAGGGTTTGGTTCCCCAGGGGATATTTGGTAATGTTTGGAAACATTTTTGGTTGACAAAACTTGCGGGGGCGGGGGTGCTACTGGCATCTAGTAGGTAGAGGCCAGGGATGCTGTTAAGCATCCCATAATGCATAAGATAGCCCCAACCCTACAACAAAGAAGTATCTGACACCACATGTCAATAGTTTAAAAAAAAACAACCTGCTATAAGATTTCACCTCCAAAATCTCTGTTATGCCCTTCCTCTTCCCTTCCATTCTAAATTAGATTTTCCTTATCTATATTAGACACTTCATTATCCATATTAGACACAGTTGCTCAAAATAAGAACCCTTCCTTATTTTTGTCTCTACCCCTTCCTACAAACCATCCCTGACATCCCTCTCACACTAAACAAACATGTCCTTTAACTATGTAGTTTGTGTGAGAGCTGCCATTTTCATATAAATCCTTCCGCTTTGGCCACAGTAATCGGTCTAGAAATGGGCATCAGATTTTAGGTAGGGCAATCAAAACCCTTCCCTGTGATTATTTTGTAATTTGGGGTCACATAAGAAATGCCTCACAGTTGTTCTCTGGCAATAAATACTTAATATACTGTAGATAACCACATCCCCCTTGTGAAAGAAGCAAGTCTGTGGTATTCAATAGAGGAGCTGTTACTGAATACATGTCCCTGAGGTTTAGCCATACTCTTACTTTTAAAATACGCTTTCCATTTTACCTACTAGTTCTAGTTTGTTAGGTTTGGTTGGATTTCTGTTGGTTTCAACCAATAATCCTGGATACTCCATGTTTCAACCAATACTCCTGGATACTCTATTTGTGTTCTTTGCCCAATTATCCACTTAAAGTGCTTCTAGTTATTTATCAGGACCCAGCGTGTCACCAGTTTAAATCCTCAGAAAAGACTGACTCAGGAAAGGAATCTGTTTTTCCTCTCTATTCCCACTGTGTCTGGTACATACAGATATCTAATAGAGCAATTAGACAAACAAACAAATTATTAATAACACTCACACACTTACACACACAGGGATACCACACTACTTGTAAGTCAGGAATTGAACCCTGAGAACATCAATTGTGTATATTAAATGAGATAATGCAAATAAAGCTCTCAGCAGAGTACCTGGCACTGGTAACGGCCTGTAATGCGTTCAATAGTAACCCCTCCAAAAGATATATCTACTTTTGAATGAGATGTTATTTATAAAAGGAATCTTTGCAGATATAATTAACTTTAGGATGTTGAGATGAGATCATCCTGGACTAGTCTAGGCCAGTGATGGCGAACCTTTTGAGCTCGGCATGTCAGCATTTTGAAAAACCCTAACTTAACTCTGGTGCCATGTCACATATAGAAATTTTTTGATATTTGCAACCATAGTGAAACAAAGATTTATATTTTTGATATTTATTTATATATTTAAATGCCATTTAACAGAAAAATCAACCAAAAAAATGAGTTTGCGTTTCACCTCTGACACGCGTGTCATAGGTTCGCCATCACTGATCTAGGCCCTAAATCCAATGATATGTGTCTTTATAAAAGACAGGACAAGAGAAGACATACATAGAGACAGAAGGGAGAAGGCCATGTAAGGACAGAGGCAGAGACCAGTGTTACCCAGCATCAAGCCAAGGAATGGGTGGAGCCACCAGATATTGGAAGAGACAAGGAAGGATTCTCTTATAGAGCCTTCAATAGAAATATGTGCCTGCCAACACTTTGATTTCAGACTTCTGGCTTTCAGACCTATGAGAGAATATATTACTATAGGCCACTCACTTTGTGGTAATTTTTATGGTAATTTGCTATGAATATATCTGGGCAGTGCTTTGCAGAGTGAACTTGGTAAATGTGTTGGACTGAAGCAAATTATATTAAATTTGACCTCAGAATGAGTTCTATTTTCCTTCTTCATGAAGTTGGATTTGGTTACTGTTACCATTGGGTAAACTCCCTTAAATATACTGTTGTCTTGCTTCTAACTAAAGTTCACTTCTGATGAAGCTACACTTTAGGAAAAGGAGCACTCTTCTCTCTCCTCCACCTGTTGAGTGTCACTGAAATCCAGTGATGAGACTTAAGTACAAGAAAGGGAATGCAAATACATATGTGGGTCTTGTAAGGACAGAGCAGGAAGTAGAAAATACACAGACAAGAAGTTTACTTCCAGTCCTAATTATCATGATTATACAGTACTTTCACCTATATAACTTATTGCATTTTACAAGGCATAATCCATATTCAGTCTCCTAACTGGTTAAGGATCATTATCCAACCTGAGCTCTAGGTTTCCTCATTCTTAGTCCAGGACTTCTCTCTTTCTGTGGGCTTCAGGAAACTGGCCTGATTCTAGAGACTACCTCAAGATCTATTTACAGTTTGATAAAAACCCTCTTATATCCTCTTCAGGGGCACCTCTTTAATTCACCTCTCAGATTATAGTTGTCAAGCTTCAGGATGAAAGTGGTGTCTAAGGATTGACATAGGTCTTTGGCTAACAGCTCTTTTAAGAGCAGCAGTAAGTTGATTTTTTTTTCAGAATACAATGAGATAATGAAGAAGCTAACCTGAACTGTGGAAAATGTTGGTGATTAGAAAAGGAAGTGGAATGTTATGGGTTGGTGTCTTTGAAACCCCTTTTAGTGGAAGGGTTAGATTTTTGGATACTATGAAATTGCCTACTCTAATGAAAGTAGCAAAGGCCTTAGGAAAAAGCAAATCCCAGGTTTGTCTTGACTCTCATACCCTGACACATCCTCTGGAGGTAAACTGGCTGCCTAGCGGGGTTTAATTTTAGAAAAGGATGTTTGAATCAGACAGCTCAGTCCCTTCCCTACCTAGTGCTTCATTTTAGCAGAGGAAAGAGACATGGTGATTTCAAGCTCTACCAGAGGAAGAGGACAAAGAAGCCTGGTGGGTGTGCCAGAACACCCTCCCTGCCACTAGGTAGAGAAAGGATGAGGTGGACAGCCAAGCATATAAATTATACAGCAGACTGCATCCTCCTTGCTCCACCCATCCCCACACACCACTGCTTCTTTCTGGACCAAGTCCCAAAGACAAGGAGCCATCTTCCTTTTCCCTTTAGAAATAGCTGATAGAATGTCAGGAAAGAGTGGGAGCTGGTGGCTTAGTGAAGGGAGAATGACCACATGGCTCTGAGGACTGCTCCTCTGAATGTATAATGAACTTTCTAGCAACCTTAGGGTCAGGTAAGCCTGGAAAGAGGAGGGTTTTTCAATCAGGATAGTGTGGTGTTCAGGGAGTGGCTAATGGAGTCTAAAGTCTTCTGTACATTGTTAGAGGTTAAATTCTTCTGCCTGTGGGCTTTTGCACTTTCTTATGCCACATCAGTTGTTTTACCAGACATAATTTCCTGGCTGACCCATATCTCAGCTTTCACAGCGGTACTGACAGAAGGCATTGGAAAAATGCTAACATTCCCTCTAAGGAAAGAAAGTGAAATGATCTTTGCCTGCTTTTGTGGGGGGTCCACACCTTTTTCCTAACAAGAAAAGGAAAAACGGCTTGGGTGCAGAGGAACAGTGCATCCAGGAGAGGAGCAGAGATAATCTTCCATCCCGATGAAGGTCAGAGGATAATAACTGAAACACTTGACAGGGAATCTGAACACCCAATTTTTACTTTTGACTATGACACTTAATGAAATATACATCATAAGCAAGTTCTTCCTTTTCTCTAAGCCTAAGATCTCTTATATATACAATGGAAATAATAAACCAGCTCTATCCACTTTACAGAGAGTTACGTATGCACTTCAAAGGAGGTAATATACATGAACTATTTTAAAATTTGTAGTAATGTTATGCAACTATGTATTGTGAGAGATTTGGTAGATGTGAAAGTTATCTACAAAGGACATATGTTACTCCATTCATCACCAAGATTGATTTAACTAATCAAGATAGATGGGTTTGTTTCCCCTTTCTCTATTCTTCTTGAGTATTCCCCTGAAAACTATCCACCATTTTCTCTCTATTTAAGAAAAATAACCACTCTGGCCTCAGAGCTCTACACATGGACAACATTTACATACAATCTACATGAGGTCTTACAGGACATCTAAGCATCCATTGTCTCCCCGCCCTCCTAGTTTTTATAAACTTGTGGTGACACTGGTCCAAGGTAAAATGGTACTATGTCTGCTTCTATATGCTGCTCCAAAGAGGCAGACACAACACAGATGGAGCAAGAAATGAGACTGAAATACTGTCCCCTACTCTCTTTACATTTCATAATCTAGATAACAGCAAGTTCTCTATCTGAGACCCCAATAATGAAACTTACCAACTGAAGCTTGACATTGACATCAGGAGAGGTAACTCGGCATGGCACAACCACCTCTTGGGTTCCAGGAAACACGGTGATCACCAGTGGCGCATTATAGTAGGTCTGCACAAAGACCTGGTTGTCATCTGAAGGAATGACAAATCAGATCAGGATTGCTATTGTCATCAGGATAAGGGTCCATAGTTTTTATATGACACTTGAAGATCGTTATATTTAGTTCTATAATTTTATACAGGAAATTTGGTTCAGAGAAGGAAAAGAACTCAACAAAGGGGTACAGTGAGGACTTGGAGCCAGGTATCACCTAGGAAAAAATTTTTTCATAAGAACCAGGAAAGCACAGAAGTCTGTTCATAAAAGTCTGTAAGAGAAATTCATTCCATTAATTTTACCTATTGGGTCACATGATATAAGTCAAAATTCTCATCCACATGATCATGTCTCTGATACTTATCAAATTTTCTGTCATCTAAAATCCTTATTTCTTTTCCATGTAAACTGTTTAAAACCCTATGGATTCCCTGCATATAATGATTGTCAAAACAATTTAAGCTAATATCCATAGTGATTAATGGGTTAGGCATATTACATTTCTATATCCAGGATAATTGTTTATTTGAATGCTATATCTCTTATACATGCAAAAATCAGATCACTGCTCTCCTTTTATAAATGAAAATGAATTTAAATGACTAAAAGCAATCTCAAGTTACATCTACTTTGTTTTTCTACACTCCTGTGTAGACACAAGACACAATCAATAAATTTATGTGGGCACTTGCAGTGTAGGCACTTCTCATATGGTAAACACACAGAATGTCAATCTGAAAATAGAGACTGCTTATATTGGATTCCAAGATGGCTGAAGAATAGCTGGAAGCTCCATCCTTTTGCTCCCAACCACGGACTGGAGCTAAACTGCAGAGCAATTGGCTTGAGAGACCAGTTGAAGTGTTGTGATCTGAACTATTGAGAACAGCGACCACAGAGGAAAGATAGGAGGAGATATGGAGAGGGTCTGGGAAACCCTGCCTGAACACAATTCTATAGGGCAAGGAAGGGAAGCTGAGAGCTGCAACATTCAAGGTACAGACCTGAGGCAGACCCAGCTTCTGGGTTCCAAAGGCCCTGCCCACCAGACTACTTGGGACTCTACCCTGGCAAGCATTAGTCAGGCTACTGAGGGCCAGGCAGGGACAGCAACTGATATTGGCTTGTATCAGAGACCCACCCTGGGTGGCCCAGGACCAGCACACCACATAGCCAGCTTCAGACAATGTCAGAGCATTATCCAGTGAACTCCATAAGCAGCATATTCAAACAGTGATCACAATAGGCACTAAAATTTGCTGAGGTGAACTCCATTTTTTAAAAATATTTTTAGTTTTTTTCAATTTCACTTTTTATTCTTCTCTTTTTTCTTTCATATCTCTTATTTCTCTCTTTTCTTATTTGTTTTTTTTCTTTTTTATTCAATTTTTTCATTTTTATTTTTCTATTCTATCTTATTTTATTATTACATTTTAAAATTATTGTTTCTTTTCTTTTTATTTTTTATTTTCTCTTATTCCCTTTCATATTCTGTTTCCTTTTCTTTTTCTCTTATCTATTTTTTTCCTTTTTTCTTTTATTAGCTTCTTTTTAAAAAACTTTTCTTATTCTTTTTCTCAGTTCTTGTTTTTGTTGTTGGTGGTGGTAGTGGGTTTTTTCAGCTTGGTCTTATTTTGTCATGTTTTGTTCTGTTAGCACCAGTACAACAGTTTACATGACTTGGTTGGAGTTAAGTCTTATAGTTAGCCAGGCTGAGAGCCAAGCCCACCCACAAAGAGGACACAAGCAATCAAGATTCAATTATAATATGAGGGTCCACATAATCCACACAAGGGACCTTCCCAGAGCTTCTACTCAGGAGATCAAGGAGATTAAACCACTGAACCCCACAGGACACCCACTATTTTAGGCCACCCCAGCAAGACTGTGAGTCATATACTAGTAAGTTTTTCTAATAATAGACACAAATAAAAAAGAAACAGAAAAAATGGGGAAACAGAGAGAACCAAGATGGCAGCATAGGTAAACACCTATACTTGCTGCCTCTCACAACCACATCAAAATTACAACTAAAAGGCAGAATGGCTACCACCCAGAGCCTCGGGAAAACTGGCTGAGTGGAAGTTCCGCAACTAAAGAGGTGAAGAAAGCCATTGAGACTGGTAAGAGGTAGAGAGGTGTGGAAAGTGCTGGCACCTGGATGTGCTGCTCTTTTAATCGGGAGGGAGAAACAAGCACCCACTTGCTCTGAACTCCAGTTCCGGGAGAGACTCTGGGAGACCCAGACACATATGGGGAGAAACTGGACTATCTGGCATCAGGACAGTAATGCGAGGGCGGCTTTCTCTCATAGGTGTTTGCAGTGATCATTGTTCCTGCACAGGGGTGTGGGATGCGGAGACACGGGACCTCTGGTGCAGGGCTGACTGGCAGCCATTGTTGTTTGCTCTACCCTGGTGACTCCCAGAGACCCTGCCCCACCCAATTTACAACCACACCCAAGCTGTGTGCATCTGCTTTTGCATATGAATGGTCTGTCCTTTCTCTGCCTAAAACCTGTCAAATTGCATCTGGGTCAGAGAGCCCTAGAGCTTCCAAAAGAAGGCCCAAGGCTCAGCAGCAGCAGCCTGCCTTGCTTCACAGCTGGGCCGCGTCTAGACACTTCCAAACCCCATACAAAGAGGAGGAATCTTCAGATGTCTCTGTAGCTCCTGCTGGGCAGCCACAGACAGTGGCTGACCTTGCATCTCCTTGGAGATTCAAGAGCCAGTGTACCCAGTGATCAGAGTGAGACCATACTGGATTGCAACTCTTCACATTCATAAGAAACACACTCAAGGGGCAGACTCAGTGAGCACCAAAACCCCACTGAAGCAAGTCCTGCCCCATAAGGGTGTCTCCTGTGCAAGAGACCTTCCAGTGTAGACACAGCTGGTCATCACAGCCAATTGGCCCGAAGGTCGATTCCTACCAGTGATACCAACAGCAATCAAGGGTTAACTACAACAAAACTGTGCAAACAGCCCACAAAGGGGTGCACCAAGAGTGTCTACCTCAGGTGACTGGGGAGGCTGAG